CAACTTAAGACAATTTTCTTGTTGTTTTGTTTGTTTTCTGAAACTCATAATAGAAATCCGTCGTCTTACAATGACTAATTTCTCTTCTTCGCTAAATTCCGAAAACGGATTAATCCTCGTACAATCTTAGCCACCTCAGAACATATCTAATTATATCAACGCACAATATTGGTCTTTTTCGAATTCATTAAGTATATAAGTTTGTCTATTAGATGCTACTACAAATAATGGATTAAATAGCAGTATTTTTTTTTCGCCTTCTGAGTTTTCTAAAACAATTTTGTTCAAAAAGTTTGAATTATATGCAATAGTGTAAAACAAACTGAAAAAGGCAATATTAGACACGCATCAGCAACTAGAATGGCTAGCTGTTCCGTAATATTAATGCAATAAGAATCGAGTTTATTTAAAAAATGAAAACGAAAATTAAATGAACATTCTTGTTTTTCTACTTGTATTTTATCATTACCTCTATATCAACATTTACGATAGTTTATTGAAGAAAAAAGAACGCTGATCAGCTACACTCGGTTGAAACCGAAAAATGCCAATTGGGCAAATAAGAGAAGAAGGATACAGGACGATTAAGTTTCAAGGAATCAATTCAATCATAAGAGACATCTATTGATAATTCCTGTAACATGACAATTAATATCGGTGAAACATGGATTATGGACTCAAGGGTACTTCTTCACTTCAGATCAACGACACCCCCATTCCATTGGTCGTATGAGCAAGAGGAAAGAAAAATTTTCTATTCTCTTATTCATACGAACAATAGAATGGGGGTGACGTTGATCTGAGGAAGTACCTTCTTTTTAAATAGAATGCATATAACATGTCGTCGATATCTTTCATCATATTCTATAGTTTTGATCTTCTTTCTTGTATATTTCATAATAACCGGTTTCATGATTATATACAGTAAGAAAATATCTTTTGCTTTTCTAAACTTCCTTTATATTCATTTATGTTTGATTTTTCTAGTGAAAAATATTGATAAGAAACAAGATATTAAACCATGGGAACAATTATCGAATATGTATCCAGGCTTAGTTAAACCAATTGAAGAAAGTTGGAATGATCCATTGTCAATACGTAAGATTTATATGATTACACCAACAAAAACACGAGCTGAACAAGTAGCTGATTTAACACGACTTGCACAAACACTTTATTTAGTAAAAACAAAACACTAGAGCAATGCTCATTTGTCTTTTTTTCTAAATTAACTCAACGAATAATTTTAGATTCCAAATCTTATTTGGATTGTTGTCGAAGATGAATCTCAATTAACAAGACGTATTCATCGTTTACTTAAATCATTTCATTTACCATTTGTTCATTTAAATATTGCAACACCGGATTATATGAAGCCAACACAAAATCAATCAACATGGCGTCGACCACGTGGAATGTTTCAAAAAAATGTTGGTCTTCAATGGATACGTCAAAATACAAATTCAAATGATGATGCACTTATCTATTTTGCTGATGATGATAATACATATCACTGGAAATTATTTCAAGAGGTAATCTATTGGTTAGTAGACTCATTATAGATGTATGATAAAAATATCAGAAATTCTATTTCTAGATTCGAAAAGTTCAATCAGTTGGTGTTTGGCCAGTAGGACTTGTTGGTGAACTTTTTTATGAACGTCCAGTTTGTTTAAAAGGAAAAGTACGTTCAAATCTTATTTGTTTTTTTGTTTGTTGTTTTTTGAGAGAATATTTGATAATAGGTTTACTCATGGTTTCATTATGTTTATCGAAAACGAAAATTTCCAACTGATATGGCTGGATTTGCAATTCATTTACGTCTTTTTCATCAATATTCAAATTATACTTTTAATGTAAGTGCTAATAGTGTTGCTGAACAAGAATCTCAAATACTTGATACAATGACAACAATGGATCAACTTGAGTGTTTAGCTAATAATGCTTCAAAAGTAATAATTATCTTTTATATGAAAAATATACGAATGAATTTGTTCTATTTAGATTTATGTTTGGCATACAAAAACTCAATCAATGTTTCTAACTCCGATAGAAAAATTACGAAACGCCGGAATGAATTATGATCTGATTGGTGAATTATGAAATTGATCCCTTTAGGATATTGAATGAATGATAAAATGGTGCTGATCTTTTTTTAGTATTGTATATAATCAATAAAATATTTTGTTTTTTTTTGTAATCGTATTTTGAGAATGGTTCATTTAGGAAAGTATAATAAAGAATGTTCAATGCAGAAAAGATAAAACTACTCAAAATCATGGAAATAAACAACAGTTAAACTTATGAGAAAACGTTTTTAAATGTCAAATTGCTTTTGAATCAGGACTATTTGTATTATTTATGTTCTCTTGAAAAGAATTCAGTTCAACATCTTATTGCTGCCGAAGTACTGTATGTTTACCGTATTTTTTAGCAGAATGTCGTGGTGTCCCTCAAGAATACCGGGAGAACTAACAATGGATCCGTCTGTCATGTCAGACGATTTCCTTAACTATTTTGGTATCAAATGATAGCCGTCAACGAGAAACTAACAGGGTTAAAATATTAGCTGCCCATGGCTTGCCTAGAGGAAGATATTTAATTTTTAAATCTAGGTATAAAAATGAATCAGGAAAGATTTTCTCCACTATTATAAGGACAGAACATGGTGTTGTTTGGGCCGATTATGGGGTTTGTAGGGACCCTCTTTCATATGGCTCGAACAACACTATGTTTTGTCCTTTTAATAGCGGAGAAAATCTTTGCTGATTCATTTTTATACCTAGATTTAAAAATTAAATATCTTCCCCTAGGCAAGCCACGGGCAGCTAATATTTTAACCCTGTTAGTTTCTCGTTGGGGGCTATCATTTGATACCAAAATAGTTAAGGAAATCGTCTGACATGACAGACGGGTCCATTGTTAGATTCATTCTAAATAGATAGTCAGCTGCCATAGACATAAATTATTTTAATATTTTTAGAACTGGTTCAGAAATATTAAAAAAATTTTTAGATTAATAAAAGGAAAAAATGTCAAAGAAAAGATAAAGGACGGGGGGCGATTTCTACAGAAATCGGCCCAATAGAATTTTAATGATCTGCTCGGGTAGAAACAAAGGAAATGATGGTAGAAAGTATACCTTATGGTTTTCACATGATTTTGCTAGGTATTTACAAGTTCAGGATCCGATTACTTCTTCAATTTTCTGTGTATACATAGGGGCATCTTTTGGTTGTCAAGTTTTACAGATATGTACTTGTTACTTAATTCAAACCAAATGAATTATATATCAGTAGATAGGCCATGAAAAATACTTCAAAATCATATATGACAATCGTTTATGAAAAATGTAAAAAAATAATTTCTTGCCGAAATACTTGTTGAATACCGTTCAATTACTGCGTTGGTGTCCAGTATAAACGGTCCTATGCGCTGAGTTAGAGTTTGCCCACTATGAATTTTATACCATTCGATAGAGTTTTTCATGGGCTACAAATCCATATATAATTTGTTTGCAAATGAAGCTGCGAACATCTCTCAAGTCCATATTGTTTTGTTTAGATCAACAAAAATGGCATTTTTTGGCCGGTATTCAGCGGTTTTGGTCATAATCATTTTTTTTAGCCAAAACAAATGGCATATTCAGAATCACCATAAAAAATAGGATCGATGTATGTATGTTCGAAACTTTCCTGATGACTTTTACTTTCGGTCACAACCTCAGCCCTGGTCCACCTCAAAGCTTCCTCAAGAAATAAGTCGAAAAATATAAGTCATCAGGAAAGTTTGGAACATACATATATCGACCCTATTTTTTATGGTGATTCTGAATATGTCATTTGTTTTGGCTAAAAAAGTAATGATTATGACCAAAACCGCTGAATACCGGCGAAAAAATGCCATTTTTGCTGATCTAAACAAAACAATATGGACTTGAGAGATTTTCACAGCTTTATTTGCAAACAAATTATACTTGGATTTGTAGCCCATGAAAAACTCTATCGAATGGTATAAAGCTCATAGTGGGGAAACTCTAACTCAGCGCATAGGATGGTTTATACTGGACACCAACGCAGTAATTGAACGGTATTCAACAAGTATTTCTGCAAGAAATTATTTTTTTACATTTTTGATAAACGATTGTCATATAGGATTTTGAAGTATTTTTCATGGCCTATCTACTAAAATATAATTCATTTGGTTTGAATTAAGTAACAAATACATATATGTAAAACTTGACAACCAAGAGATGCCCCTATGTATACACAGAAAATTGAAGAAGTAATCGGATCCTGAACTTGTAAATACCTAGCAAAATCATTTGAAAACCATAAGGTATACTTTCTACCATCATTTTCTTTGTTTCTACCGAGCAGATCATTAAAATTCAATTGGACCAATTTTTGTAGAAATCGCCCCCCGTCCTTTTTAGGAAAGTTCCTTCTTTAGCTATGCTTGTTCTTTTTGGCATTTTTTTCTGCAAGGTTTATTCATTTCAAGCACTAGAATGTGCTTTACCCGTTGATTTTGCTGGAGATGGAAGAAAAAGCAGTCATTGACTCATTCACATTAGTCAATATTTTTCGTTCTGTCACTTTTGCACGTTATGTATTGGCGAGAATCGTATATTCCTTCACCATATAATGCAACAGAACGAAGAAAAAAGAAGTATACAAATTTTTCGTCTATGGATAACATGGATCAGTGACGGAACGAAAAAAGTGACCTTTGTGAATGAATGAGTGAGTGAAATTAATTGGCATGGCGTTCTATTATGTCTAACGAATCGAACATTCGGAGGTGGCGTTCTATTCCGGGTGGCGTTTTATTTTGGGGAGGGGGGGGGTATACCATTCTCGTTAATTCCATTATATGGGCGCCAATTTGTATCTGCATTCTTAGACGAGTAGAAAGCATTTTTATCATGGTCATCCTTTTTTATATGAGAGTAAAAACAAGTCGCAGAAATTAGTTTTAGTTTAATATTTTAGAGAACAATGTCCACGGGGTCGAAGCTTGAGAATACAAAAATTCAACAAAGTTCATCAGATGGCACAACGAATGGTGGCTCAATTAACAATAGTGAGACAATTAAGAGCAATCCTCCAGGTCAATCAGTGCCTTTCAAAATGCCTCATGCTCCACCCCATGTCTATTCGTGTTTTGTTATTAATCAAACCGGACAACCTATCGAGTGTAGCCTCAAATATGACGGTCGTCCAGGAGAAGACAAATTCGATCAAACGGTCAATGTAACTATTCCAGCTCATTCAGAGCATTATTTTCCTCGCCAATTTTTTCAACCTGATTTGCCAGAGTCTTATTGTAAGTGGGTCAAAATTGTGACACATATTCGAGTGAAGAAATCCAATGGAGCGATTTTAGAAGTCCATTATCCATTCGAGCATGTTCAACGCCCATTTCGCAATTGGGAATTCCATGTCAATGACGATGGTGACATACTTTCGATGCCTCCTACGCGTATAGCCAATGTACTGAAATATGAGAACCTTGATCAGTATGAATGCTAAAAAAATCACCAAAAACTAAATAGAAACTGCTTGCCTAATTTTTGCTATTGATTTTACGCCATCTAGCATAAACTTATGACATATACTATCAACACAATCATTTTTTTTGAAAAATGAAAGCTAACATTATCTTCCTACACTATAAAACTGAATTTTTTTACTCTACCATTTTGACATACATTCATTATGGAGATTGTTTTATAATAACAGTCAACGCTTACAGTTTGCTTTCGCAATTAAATACAGGATGTCCCAAAAGTTCGTTTGGAAAGTTTCCATAAATATCTCTTATAGAATTTAAACGATTTAATTGATTTTTTAATAATATGATTGTATATTCTTTTAAGTTTTATTTCATATATTGTCGGATAAATGTCTGTGCTCAGAGGTATTAGAATACAAATAGTTCTATTGATAGTGAAATCTGAGTCCTACAATATTGTAAAACAAAAAATTCAAGTCGAATTTAGCATTAAATGTCAAAAGCGAATTGTATTAGGGATATTTTTCATCTCTTTTGTGAAACTAGTACAATGGCAAATTGACAAGACTTTGATAGATTTTCAAAAAATTATAGAGGAACAAATCGATAAAGTTCATAATATATGCGAAAATATGCTATTATCGAGTGTTGAAGATGGTAGAACAGTCTGATACACTCCACGAACAACAGCACACCAAATTACAAGTGAATATCTTTTAATTAAGCCATAAAATGTAGAATTTATGCAACAAATTCGCAAAGAAGATTCACAAGATCGATTTGAAGTTATGTTACTTTGATACTAATGTTAAAGAGCAGCAACATTCAAAAGAATTCACTTAATTTTCGCACGAAGCCGCTTTTCATTTAAATTGCTGATCGATAAATATAAAATGGAAATCAACGTGTATAAAATACATATAAAGATCCGATTGAATTCAAAATGACAATCGATAAGGGAAATAAACTAATTCGAAACTCAACATTCTGCAGTAGTGCGTGTGGATATTTCGAAGAGGAGGGACTTACCTATTTCAATTTGCGTATTGACCCAGCTTTAGTAATTTTAAAAACTGCAGAGTTTTGTAGCCCGTGATAAATGGTATCCTCGAAACTATAATTGAAACTGGGTTTTTTCAGTTTATGCACAGAAGTGTAGTCTGAAAGGCTATGATGTCATCATTGTGGATTTCCATTAGAAACATTTCAAATCCTAAAGTAGAAGTTGTCAAATGTACATAAAATCTGATATCAATGTATTCGGCAATCAAAGTTCTTTCACCCTTTGAATGATTATGTTGGGTAGAATGTGAAAAAGTTCAGTTTTATAGTGTAGGAAGATAATGTTAGCTTTTATTTTTCAAAAAAAAGGATTGTGTTCTATAGTATATGTCATAAGTTTATGCTAGATGGTGTAAAATCAATAGCAAAAATTAGGCAAGCAGTTTCTATTTAGTTTTTGGTGATTTTTTTAGCATTCATACTGATCAAGANACTAACAGGGTTAAAATATTAGCTGCCCGTGGCTTGCCTAGAGGAAGATATTTAATTTTGAAATCTAGGTATAAAAATGAATCAGGAAAGATTTTCTCCACTATTATAAGGACAAAACATAGTGTTGTTCGGGCCGACTATAGGGTTTGTAGGGAACTTCTTTCATATGGCCCAAATAACACTATGTTTTGCCCTTATAATAGTGGAGAAAATCTTTCCTGATTCATTTTTATATGTGGATTTCAAAATTAAATATCTTCCTCTAGGCAAGCCACGGGCAGCTAATATTTTAACCCTGTTAGTTTCTCGTTGAGGGCTATCATTTGATACTAAAATAGTTAAGGAAATCGTCTGACATGACAGGCGGGTCCATTGTAAGTATCCCTAAATTAATATTTCTGTTCCAACTGTAATAATCATTCAATTGATGGGCATTCTCTTCATATTTCCTCTTCATGTAATAAATCATTGACATATTGAAATAGAAAGAATAATTTATTGCTAGAATTAAAAAATGATCTGTTTTCTTCTCGTTCAGCCTATCGATTGGCTCTTTTTAAGCAACACAAAGTATACTATAAAGATCCTCTTTTTATAATATATATCCATCATATGAACATTTCTTTGTTACCTTACTGGCCGGCATGGTTCTCTTGTTTTCAATAAGACAGACTTTCTCTGTACGCGTCGCGTATCTCTTCACATGAAAATAACAACCACTACTCTTTTCTCTTCATTACATTTATATTGCTTTGAACCAACAAACCAATTACATTTCCTTTTTTATATGTTCGAGATTCTTCTCCAACGCTAGAAGATTAGAATGATTTGAAGGTAGTGAATTTTCGACTATTTTAAGAGTCCGTTCAACAAATGACAGTACAGTCGAATAGTCTTTCATTTTATCATACACCAAACCAATGTTGCTGTAAGAAGCTGCTAATTCGACATCCGTTGGTGAGAGTCTTCTGTTTTATTTCAATGGATTGTTGATAATAGGTAATGGTATCTGCATATTCATCTTGTTCATTCTTGATCAACTCGAGGTAGTGATAAATTGATGTTATTTCTCGATCATTCGTTGTTTGATCAAACAGGATTTCATATACCTCTAGGGCTTTGCCAAATTGTTCAAGTTTAATTAGTAGTATGACCAAACGATCTCATCCTTTCTTTTGAAGATAGATCTCTTATTGGATACTTCCAGTTAGTACACGAAGTTCTGGGTCGTTGTCATTAGTCAAAGTTAAATCGACTTGCCAAAGACGGTTATTTCCGTTGATTTGTTTCATTAACCCAATACGAAAGATGGAACGCACGGAGAAGAGAATTTTTTTTTCGTCTTTAAAATAACTGACATTATGAACGCCTGTAAAATGGTGTTGATGAAATGGACGGATCAATTTTCATAACGAATAAAATACCAATAAGATCAGAAGTTTCTATAGTTTTACGAATAAATCTGATTGAGACTTGGGAGTTCTCACTTGTTGGTAGAAAATTATTAAATGATAAGAGTCAGCCTTTCGTTTTGACCAATTGATCAAAATCTGCCCGTCAAAATTTCTTGATCACGATAAACAATAAATGAATTTGAGGACAAATATCCGGCAAACTGTTTAGCATGAAGCTTAGCAATGTGACTGTGGAGATCTCAAATGAAAAACTCTATACTAATAATGAGACCGACCTCCATTGTACGTAGAGATTGATTCAACATTGAAGAAAGAAAACTGTAGTATGTATATCACCATATTGGGACATGCACATGGTGTTCCCATTGGATTTTATCGATATTTTGCTACTCTTTCGGATTCACGGCAAATTATTGACGACAATAAGTAGTAAATGTATCGATAAGTTCTTGTTGTTGTTTGAAATCGATGGTTAATAAAATCTTCTTCATGATTTGAATATATATAAACGACAAGTTCAATTGATCGAGGTTTACTTTGCTACCTTCACTACATATGTTGACAAATGTTGAAGAGCTTTACTGATAGAAGCAATATCTGTAAATATACCGTTTATTTTTGACCAGTTTTTGATCCAATCTTCGTGTTCGACTTGGTTCTCATTCAAAATATAGATGGTATTGATTTGTGGAATGTCATGAGCAATGGGAAGAACAGTTTGCGCAAAGGCATCAGCGAAGATAATAAATATTTTCTCGTCTTGAATATCCGTTACGAAATCAATGTATTCATTCACATCGGTGTATTGATGTATCTTGTTTACCACTTCTCTTAATTTGCTGATAATATTGATACGATTATCGGTGTTCATCTCATCATTGTTAGCATCGAGCCACATTAAGATGAAGTTTTGAACCATACGAGTATAGGGATGTCGTCGTGGCCTGGTATTTATATGTTCATTTGTTGCAGCTGCAGCAGCAGCAGCAGTTATTGTTATCAACTTTTTCTTTTTGTCCATTGTATATGCTGTGTTTTATCAGTAGAAAAAATAAAATAAAATGACTTAACATTATATGATATTCTGGATTTTTTTTCTAGAAATTTTTATTTGTTTTCGATTGTTGTTATCATTCAAGGTCTTTTTTTTTTTCGTTTCAATTATGTGCTGCATCCCATTTTTTATCCGCTCTTATCTGTAGTGTGATAAGAAAACGAAAGAATAAAAGAAATACTTGATACATAATTTCATTACTGGGTTATATTTCATTTTCTTTTATAATGTCAGAAGGTGTGAAGTGGACAAAGGTGAAGGAAAGACGCTCACTCACGCCCACCCACACCTGAAGTTGTCGTGCTAATTCCATTAGGATGTGAGATATCCTAATGGCAGTTCGTCATGATTTTGCCTTCTTTTTTCCTAAACGTATGCATCATAAACTGCTATTTTATGTCTCTATGATCTCGAGAATGTAAATTCAAACAATATTCGTTCGAATACTAGATGAAAATATCGACATTGAATCTACACTACTATTTTCCGATCTTTAGCAGTAGCTTTAGGTTGTTTATAGAGAGCCCAGCAAAAAGCCAGGGATAGGTGAAGAAAAAGTTTCTGAGAGTTGGAAAGATGCATATAAAGCTTTTAAAAAAGGAGAAAATGCAAATTTTTTTTTCTTCATCAACTTTCTCGTTAGTATATCGCTGCAAAAAGCAAAATTTTTGTAGACTTTGTTTTCTTTTGAACATTTCTAGTAATCAGGATAAAAACCAGTATGAAAAAAGTATAGATACTACTGTCTTTGTTTCGTGTTGCAAAATAATTGAAATGAAACTAGTAACAGATTGAGTCGTGAAAACAGCTGATTCTAGACCACGACTCGTCGAGATAATTAAATGTTCTGTGCACTGTATATTTATGCAAACAGCATGTTTATAAAGATCTCATTGTGAGAGTCTCATCGATATTTTTTCTTGAAAAGAGTTTTTATTTGTCGACCTACGAGTTGAAACAGAGTTTTCAAATTCGACAAAGTGAAAACGAAAAGCATAGGATACGAGAGTAAAGATCGATAAGTGTAGAATACGTTTTCTACTCAATCGCAAAGAACTTAATTCGAAATAAACGTCTGCGCAAAAGTCTTCCCGCACCCTTCCCTTCATCATTCTTTTCATATAGAACCTTTTTGGTCTCAAATTAATTTTAGTTACAAGAATGACTGAAACACTTTATTATAGTGTAGTGTATGAGTGATGACATTTTGCTGCAATCAAGAATATACATCTTTCAATACCATTGAGTAACACTACAAATAAGTTGGTGGACAGAATACGCCAGGAACAGGTTATCTCTTTTATTTTGCATCTGCTAACTGTTTTATAGGTTTGAATTATTAAATTAACTTTGTCACAGACTCGAAGCTCCTCTGAGAATGCGGTATAGTCGATTATGCAAATAAAAATAAACTCAAATAAGTATAACATTCAAAAAGTGTCCAAAGAAAAGAGATAACTCAGTCATGATGTATTCTGTCAACTAACTCATTTATAATGTTGACTGATTGTATTGAATGACGTAAATTCTTCATTGAAGCACAATGTCATCAATCATACACTACACTAATACACAATATTAAAATCATTCTTATAACCAACATTCATTTGGGATCAGAGGAGTTTGATGCAAAATGAATTAGAGGCGGAACGGGAAGCAACTTTTGTCCAGGGATGTATATAAATCATTTGATGTTGAAGAATTCAAAGTAAAGAATGTTTTGCGCACTTTCGACTTCGTCACGGTGCCATCCAGTTTCTTCTGTCGTTGCATACCACGATTATCTTGAAAACGGGAAGTCAGAGAAAAACCATCCAAACGCAAGATTAAATTTTCATAATTGAATCGGTGTCATCCGTTTTCTAATCTTTAATATGTCGTTCTATTTTCCTAAAGCTAGCCACTCAAAAAAGCAGACTTTCCGAACTTCGTTTTGTTTCTGCTTCAAAATGACTAAATCGAAAAAACAACAACAAAAGTTAGCCGGTACTCTTTTGAATGAATCAGAGAGTGAATCAAACAATCAATCGATAATCTTCATTAAAAAGTTTATTGTGCTAATTGAGTTTTCGTAGTAACGAACTTTCACAATGACTTCTTTTTACTTTCGTTCAGACTTCCATCATCTGATTGACTAAAACCTAAATTTACCGATTTTCAGCAACAGAAAAAGTTCTGTTTCCTGTAAAACATAGATATCTATTGCAGGAAAGCATTTCGTTTTCAATTGTAGAAAAGATTATTTGTTTTTGGAAGTTATCCGTTTTTCTCGACAATTGACATTTGAAGCATCGTATTGTATTTCAAAGTCGAATGAACCTCGAATGCCATCTAGTCTTATAATGAAAATATGTTGTTTGAAAGAATTTTTTCAATTCGTGCTCATATTCGAAACTCGATTGAATTTTCATGTTAACTGTGACAAATAGAAGCAAACAAAAGATTCAATTATCTTTTCGATTGAGAAAATTTAGGAAGACACAAGTCTAAGTGACAAAATTGAAGAATTTGTTTTTATGAATAAATGTATATTTTCTTTCAGAAAAAAATTGAAAGCATGATGATGAGGCACCTATTCACCTCTCTTACTTTTGTTATGAACAATACTTGGTCTATTATATACTACAAAAAAACCCTAGATAAGGTTTTCGGTTACTAACTTAATTAGCAACAAGAGAAAAATGGCTTACTCAATACAAAAATTTGAAACAACTTGATTTATACAGTTCAAAATATCATAAGCATGTACGAACTTTTTTCCTTTATTTATTGTAATTATCAAAATAATTGAAAACTGAATACTGTTACCAATAGATCATTGTTCAGCTTCGAAGATAAAACTATATTGAATCAATTACTGACTAGATCAATTTATTTTAGTTGCTTATTGAAGATATTCAATAAGTAAAAAGAGATAATGTATCAACAATATATTTGTTACTATGATGTTAACAGACGAAGAAATTAATTATTCACTCATTCTCATCATCATCGATGAGAAACAATATAAACACGAGAGAATATATATGAATTGTAATGCGTGATGAACAATTCACAAACATAAATATTTATACCTTCATGAGAAATTAGATCATCAGTCATCATAGATATTCTACATGCATCTGTTCAAAAAGAATATAACTAATTATTTGAGTGAGTATAAATAAAAATCTTCATTTAAAACAAGTAAAGGTAGTATAAAATATATTATATTACTACACAATAGTCCAATCAATACTACTAATAGTAAATTACGTCAATGATCAATCTTTGCTTTATTGTTCCTACTGTTACATAATATTGAGACATCTGATAATATTATTATCACACGTAATAGATATGCAGCTGAGCAAATAAAAAGAATCTAAGAGAAATATAGTAGAAATCATTCATGCCTTTGACATTTATAATTGTTGTTGTTCACGGATCGATTTCAAGCAACGCTCACATAACAATCCATCTGGTTCAGTGATGATGCGTGTAAGATTCTTCAATTTGTAATGGCAATTCTTGCATGTAAAGCTAAATAAGATAAAAATCTTGATAGTACTTATGAAACGAATGAGGTTATACCATTCATCATGATACCATCGATTGTTGAATACAATCATTAAATCGTCTGAAGGCTTAAAGCACATCTACTAAGCTATCTTCTTATTGAATTATCAATAGAAAAATATATATGAAACTTACAGAACATATGGTTGTTGATGATTCATGACATTTTTTACATTTAAATACAAGAGATTCAACATCTTCATCGTGAGTATTTGGTAAATAATAAGTAGAATTAGATAAATTTTGATGACAAATTCCACAAACGAAACAAGAATTATGTATATAATGAATATTATTTGAAATTTTATCTGTTGATAAGTCAATCTAAGGATAAAAAAGCTCAGTTCAGATAATCATGCTTACGATATTAATACATACTTGATGTTTAGTAATAAGATCACCTGGTTGAAATTGTTTTCTACATATAGAACATCGTAATGTTAAAACAATTGATGAAGCTGGATGAAAATCATTTTGAACAGTTTTATAACAATTTGAACAATAAATATGATTTTCATAAGGAAAAACTAGTGCACCTTTAAATGCTTTTTGACAATGATCACAAGAAAAACAATTTGGATGAAAAATACGTTCACCATATATTAACGAAATATCATCAATTATTTTTAAACATTGAAAACAAACAGGTGCTAAACGATAATAACATGAATCACAATAAAGATTTTTCTTTTCATCGTGACGTGGATCTTTATAACGATAATAAAATATGCCAGCAAGTGATCTATGACAACTCGAACAAATATAACAATGTGTATGTACTATGCTTTCACCATCATGCAAATACTGTTCTTCAGGTGATATTACTTCATTACATTTTTTACATCTATTTGATGAGAACAACAAAACGAATCAAAATCAGAATAAATGAGTATATAATATTCACTTAATAACAGCTGTTTTTGAATGCTTGGCGGACATTTATGTTAGTTACACACAAACAAAGAAATGAAACACTAATTAAAATTAAACGAAAAAGCCAAAACAGAATTGCAAATAAAATAAGAAATGTTATTTGAAACTATCGGTTACAGTGTTTAACGAGTCGGTGAGAACGTGCAAACATGTGTAAACAATAGCAAAACCTTATACACATTACTCCCAACAGACTAGAGGAATAGATCGTGAACATTGAGTATACAGGAGGAAATGCAACAATACGTGAGAGATTTGTGAAAAAAGACATCCATAAAACTATCTTTCCATATATTCCTCATCTCTTGTTTCTAGAGTTTTCTGGATATGTGATATGACTGTACTAAATTCGCTTAAATAGTTCTGTAATCAAATTTTCCGATTGTACAAGAGCAAGAAAATCATTGAAGTTAAGAATAACTGATCTCGACAAAGCGTGAGGGAAAACAGTAAACATCAAGGAATTTCTTCTAGTTTTATTACATTCTTGGATTGAAGTTTCTGCTATTTCGTCTTCGACAAAACACGTACTCTGCCAAAATTTGTTTAAATCAAATTGTAATTCATAATATAGAAAAAAAAAGTCAAAAGTTCCTTGAATAATGAAATTTCGTTGCGAAATATTTTCCTAATAACTATGGTTTCTTTGCGATAGCTTTATAATTCTCTTATGTTGCAAATATCATCCCGGATCATTCATGCTTCATTTCTTCTTTGCTAGTTTCAATGTCACTCAAAACAAGCAAACTCAATTGTATTAATGCCAAAATCTCTTATCTCGTGCAGCACTAATAATAATCATAAAAATCTAACTATAGTTTATCTATTGTCTATTTACTATTCTCATGTCAAGTTCTGCATCATATTATGTATCCAAATTCATATTTAAACTAATATTATTGTTTATTTTAGATTAATCATTGAAACAAAAGAAGATTGCAATCTGACACTACACTTATAAAATACAAACATGAATACTATTATCGTGAACTCTATAAACTAGCATCAATCTCATTAAATAAGACAAATTTCTCATGAAGAATTTTTTTCTTTAAAGATCTGGCGATCGTCTCAATTACTATCAATCATACTCCTTTCTCTCTAATCAAGTTCAACCTTCTAATCTTTATTATCACTGATTAATATCTTCAAACATAAGAAAGATAATTCATTAGAATCTATTTATATATAAATTCTAGTCGAGATTCATTGTTTACATCTGTGAAAACTTGATGGTAATATTTATCTTTAAAGAACATAGAAAAAAAGCAACGAAAATTTTCTTACGTTTATGTGTGCACAAAATATTTATATAACAAAGAAAAGAAAGAAAAACAAACAAACAATAGTTAATCAAAAGAATACACAAAAAAGAAAAAAAAAATACTCGTCTTCAAAAAAGTTTCGATTCCCTAGCAAATTGAGAAATTTTCTACTTCTAAATATTGATCTCGATCTATATATAAATACTTAGACGAGATTCATAAATGTAACAATAAAATTTCAAAGAAAAAGAATAGAATATTCGGATTTTTTTTTCCAAATATGAAAATACGATGAATTTTTATACAGAACAAAGAAAAGAGAATATTTCTATAAATGAGATGAATATTTTTCTTTATCATCATTCTGATATTCACTAGTAAAACCATCAGTTTCATCGTATTTGATTAAATGAGTATGTCGCTTATCATCTCGTCCATATTGTCCAATAAAAGATCCATCTTCTGTAAAGCGACTTCGATCTTTTTCATCATTAAATTCTGCCATTGAATCACGATCATCACCATTATGCAATGACAAGCGACTTTGTTTTATTGATGCATCACTAGGTCTAAAAAAGCAAATATAAGAAGAAAATTTAAAGAAAATTTTAGTTTTGATTTCTTTGCTAAATTTCATATAACATACGCTCGATAATATTCTGAAAACTTTCCATCATTATCGCCATATCCACTCGGACCATGTAACATTTCTTTATCTTGAACTATATAAAAAAATAAGTATAATTATTCGTTTAATTAAATAACTACTTATTTCCTGAGGAGAAGAAAAAAGGAAACATTATCATTATCAATGTCAATGACAAGAACAACAACACAAGCATCGACATTCTCCAAATCTAGATAGCATGCGAGTCTCATTGCGCGTATTTCTCATCAGTTAATACATATAATCAGTCGAGATGGAATACGAAGAAGGCAAACAGAATCAGAAAGAACAAAAAAGCAGTCCTGTTCCTGAAAAAAAACAATAGACTTCTGATTTTTTTACTTCTTTGGGCATAATTATATAGGGTTGATTTGCCATCTACACCAGCTACAAGAGAGAGAGATGTATAAAATATATATATATATATTAAAATGCACACTCATGTTTTAATTTACTTCTAATAGAACTCATGCAATGAGAGGGAAACGAAAAAGTACTGTGTACCTGTATATGTTCCTTATGTTTATTTATTTATTTTATTGTAAATTAAGATACGATTAAGTTAAAGTAAAAAGAATAAAATAGGAATATCTACCTGAATATTTACCACCTTTACGTCTCATAATACCGCAAACAATAGCAAAGACTAAAATAAGTACAATGATTGCAATAATAAGACCAATGAACCAAGGTGAGTTAATAACTCGAGGAGCACGATCTAAACAAAAGAAAATACTATTTTATATTGAATATTCATCATTTTTATTATAAATAATATCAATTAGTATTATATTTCTTCTTAAAACGATATTAGAAATTATTTTTAGTTGATTGATTTGTTTATATAAATCATTAGTTATACATTAGCTTAGATAAATCTTTGTTTTCTCTTATGATTTTAAGATTAAAGATTAATACTCACCAAAACATTCAATCAATGTACAATTGGGATCGAATGTATCGTTAGAATTAAAGGACGTCGATAAGGATCCATTTTCGATCCCGTTTGTTGAAGATTGCAATGACAGACTACTCATTTGTCATCCATCACACGTATATGCGCATGTATAAAACTTCGAGCAAATACGATCCATTGATTATTTAACACTTATCGCATCACAAATAACAATGTTGTCTACTGGTTAGCTATAGTTATGCTTATGTGTGTTGCATTTCTTGCTTTCTTTTTTTCTTCTTTCTCTCTTCGTTCCCCAATTCTTCTTTTATCTCATATAGAGAAATCTAACATAGTATGAGTATTGTACAAGCTTTTGCTTTATTTTTTCTCTTTTCTCCTTGCATCGATGCGATAACCCTTGACGGAAGCATTATCATGTAATTTTTTTCTTCTCGTTTCTTTCTTCTATATATATATTTTTTTGCTTCTATCCTTCTTGCTTTGATTATTCTTTCCAGTTGTCTTTGTCGCTTTTTCTCTATCGACTATCTACATCGGTCACAGTCAAGAGGCAATAATGATGATGATTTCCTATGTCACTCTATATTACATCTGATACTATCATATTTATTATTCAGTTCGAAAAGTCTCAAGAGATCTTTTTCTCAAGTTGAAAAAGATATAAAAAGAATAATATATAATCAAAATATACCCTTGCTAAGTGTTGCTACCATTTGTGGATCACTTTTGGTTTCAGCTAGAATACCATCACCAGCAACTAATATTGTTGTATATATTTTACCCGGTTCAAGTGCATTAACAAATATAGTACGATCATTTGAAACAGTATAAGATTTTTTAAAATCAGTTTGATCATCTTCAAATAAAAAGAAAAGAAATTAATGTTTTTTTTACTAAAAATCTAAACTTTAATATAAACCTTGATCATTTTCTTTGTATTGTACATAGTATAGACTACCAGGCACAGTCATTATTGTTGGATCAAAAGAAATATTAAAGAATGTTTGTCCTCGATGAGTTACCGTAAATGTTGGTTTTGATGGAGCTAAAATAGAAAAAAGACAAATAAATGACTCCTCGAATTTAAGTTTTTGTTTTTAAATTGTTTACCAAGACTTAAATTTGTTGTTAACTCAATAATAGCTGGACTTGTCGATAGACCAACTGATGTTCGTGCTCGCACTTGAACACGATATTTTGTATCTGGTTTAAGACCACTAAGCAGATAATTTCGACGAGTATCATCACGAAGTAATATTGAAGGTTTATCAATACCGGGTTGAGAAGCAATACTTAAAAAGAAAAAAAAAATATAACATGTGCCATTCATTTATCACTTGAATAGGTACCTTTCAATAGGGTTAAAATCAATTTGATAACCAATTATAACGCCATTTGTTTCATCTGGTGGATCCCAAAGCAAAAAGATTCCATTGCTAGTATATGGTACACCACGTAAATTAGTTACTGGTCCTGGACGACCTTCTCGTGTTGGGAATTGAATCTAAATAAAAATGATCGCATGGTTTTCTGTATCTTTTTTTGTTTTTAAATGTGATACGTACAACAGAACTTGTTGGTCCAAAATATCGTTCTGTTTCAATACAAATATGAGCACCAACATCAGCATTAGGTGGTGCATTGAAAACTGTTGTCCAAGTTTGATTTGGTAATATATCAGATATCACAAGACGAGATTTTGCTGGATCATCAAGTCGAAATATTTCAATCTATTTACATCAACATATGTTCTATACAAAATAAAATGACAAGATAATATAAAACCTGATAAGCTTTAAGTACGCCACGAATGTTAATTTCATCAGATGGCAATGGTGGATCCCATGCAAATTGTACTGTTGTACTATCAAGCATTTGCAAGACACGAAAATTACGTGGAACATATGTTGGTGCTACAACAATACATAGAGATGTTAATTAAACAAAAATTGTAACGAGATAATTTGTTTATCTGATGTTCTGTTTTTTTTTATTTGTTAATTATTAGATAAAGAAGAATTTATCATTTGATGAGGCGTTTCATAGGAATCTTTTTTTATCATCTAGAGAAATATACAGAAAATTTGATTTTTATAATTACCTGAATCACCGGCAAAAGCGATGTTGTATACTGGAGGTTCAATAGCATCAGTAG